CCCCCCCCCCCCCCCCCCCCCCCCTGTAAGAGAGAAAGGCTGACCAACCTCCAAGGGCCCGCGAATGCTATGGAGAAGAGAAAAATGAGGAGTGTGGAAGCTCCTCCATCTCCCTCACAAGTTTTGCTCAACCACTTACATCTCATTAAACTGCTCACCTCTTTATCAAAAAAGGAGTCCCCGCAAGCTATAGCCATTTACCCACTACCGTCCTAGATGAGATATTCTTACCTTATTCTTTTGACTCAGTTCAACCTTGCTATCATTTAGACCTCCTAAATTTCCTCTCTACGTCTAAAGACATTTTGGTCTTCCATACTCTAATAGAAGTAATTTCCGTTCACAAGCTTTCGATTAGCTATGGTAACCAGCGCAAACAAAAGTGGGAAAGGACAAAGAAGTTACGAAAATAATATTATTAAACACCCATTAAGTTACGAAATGACCACAAACAAAAAATGAATTATGGCCAGGATTGGATAAAAGGGCACTTGAAAGAGATGCTAGAACGAATCAGAGTATACTGAAAAGGATCACATTCCGGGAAGGGTCATTCAAACCTTTTAATTTGAACAAATTTTTTCAAATTAGGCGACAGAATGGAAATAGAATCGAGTTGAGAAGAGAATGATGGTCGAGGTAGGGGCTTCGAGAGAATCACTTGACGAATATGAAACCTTGCGGCCTTGATCGCCAGAGAGAATAGTCGTGGCACATTAGATGAACTAAAAGAGCGTTCATATCGCTCCACATAGAAGTCAAGATCGCGAATACGTCCCCCGGAGTAGAATATTTGTGAAGGTAGTACAGTGCCAGAATGACCAAGTTGATCAAGGCAATGACAGTAGAGGCTGAAAGACTGTTTCATCCATTTATCACACATTCCCAAATCACCACATAGGCTTTGTAAATGAAGGAGGTGCCCTAAAATCCATAGAACTTGCATATTGGATTCCATTAGCACCCTTAGCAATTGCGGCTGAAATTCAGCAAGAGCATTTAGGATGACCTTTGAATACTTGACATCAACACAACACTCTATTTGAAAAATATCAGCAAGTGAGCTCGTGTACGGTAAATAGGGGAAGATAAGATGTTCGAGAATGGAGTTCACTAAGGATAACTTCGAATTTTGTTGACTCCAAAGGTGGTGCGTGCTTAAAAATGATTCCATAACTTTCATAAAGTAATATTTATTGTTGATTTGAGCAAAGTGACCATTCTTTTCGCAGATAGACCGAACACATTTCAGTCCATAATCAGGAATTGATTGGAATTTGTCAAAAATAAATGGAACGATATCTTCCCAAAGATAATTCAGAGGGAGTTCAATTTTCATATCCAAAAATTGAGAGCAAAATTCGTCAAAATAGGGATGGAGGAACTTGATTGCTAAGGAGAAATAAAAGGTATTAGCAAACACTGAGTTCTTGTGTGTAAAAAAAGAAGCGGACAAATTAGCATTTCGTTGTCCACGATCCGAAGAAATCGATTCACTAATGTCCCTCAAAAGCTGTGGCAGACGAAGCCCGTTCACGCAGAGCTCAAATTCTTTAAGACAAATAACGGAATTACATCCAGGTTCAAAATATAAAATATGAAAATTGTACGATTTATTTGGGATACTTTTAAAGACAAGGAAGACTGTTGGAAAGGGAGGGCATTTTTCCATAGGACAATTCGTTAAAAATTGCAAAAATGACTTATCCTCCAAAAATAAAACTGTGTTATAGTCGATGAGAATAAAAGATAAGGAAGATGGAAGAGGTATCCATTTAATAGCTAATCCAGTGTTCTTGGTTGACTTATCGGTAAAAACAAAGGAAAATACTGACAGATTTTCTGAATATAAATCCTTTTCAAGATCATAGTAGGTATGATATTTCTTGTTAGCGATTTCGTTTATGTAATTGGCAACACCACATTCAGAATGGTTGGTTGATACTTCTGACCGATTACATTGGTCCAATCCCAAAGACATCATTAACTGTAGAGATGATCGCAAATCATTCCATAGCCAGCGAGAAAATGCTAACTCAAATGTGCAAATGGAAACGAGCCAATGATGTAATAGAAATTGTAGGTCATACTCATAACCTATGCCATAATGCTAGATAAAATTGAACAGACTCAAATAATTTTAAAAAACAAGAGCCAATTAACTTTTTAAAATATTTAAAACATACTTATTTATTTTGCATTTAGACTTTTCAGCGTCGTTTGAATAGAAATATAATTGATATTTCTTGGGTTTCCTCCCAATATTCATCGCTCCATTATATTTCATTGCATCACTTTGTCCTTTAATTACTATTCTAACATTGGTTTAACAATTCGCACGACGTTGAAATGTCAAAAGATAGATATATAGATAGATACTTAGTATTACCTATATTTCCATCAAACGCAGCCATAGACACGCCGAATGTATAATACTGAAATAATCTTGCGATATTTCGTGATATTGGACTGATGAATTCAATAATGAATTAACTAGTGCGATTATTTTAGACTAACCCGGTGTAAACTGCATGGCAGTTAAGAATTTCGCCATTATACATGCCCCGTCCAAATAAAATAGCTGTCAATATGTAACGAAATGTTACTGTGCTTTCAATTTATTTCACCTACCATTTCGTTCGCATTAAAAAATCGATAAGGTGTTTTCACTAGTATTTCAACAGGGTCTAATGTGCACGAGAATGGCAATATATGTAGGTTAGGGTTGAGTTAAAAGATAGAATATTTCATAAAATCCTTGAGGTCATAGCAAACAAATTATAATCAGATAACTGACTAAAAGTTTTTAGTTGTTTTAAACGTACTATTCTTCTAAAAATTTATGTTTGTTAACGAATAATCCGCTGAATATAGGCAACATCGAGCAAAACATACACAATTGACCCTCTTCATACAAAATACTTTAGTCATGTCTTCATGCTAATTTTTAAAAATATTAAACAAAACTTCAGACAGAAATCGATCCAATAGTTCAAACTGAAGTTGAAAAATGGAATACTATACCGTATTGAAGCTCCCTAAAATTATTCTTATGGCAAACACTAGTCTGTTTAGCAAATATTCGAATAATTAATTCATACCAGGTAATATAATGCATAATTTAAAAGATAAATAGAGCTTTAAACGAAATATTTATGCAAAATATTGGGTGCAAAAGGATTCTTAACTTTTTGTACCATGAAATCCTCCTCAGTAGGAACCAGCCTCTGACCTGCCTTCAGCTAATTTAGACAACAAATTCATAAATTTAAAGCTGACTCGTTGTAAAAATGGCAACAATTATTGAAAATTAAATTATTTATCAGCTTCAATTCAATTTTTGTTAATGACTCTGCTTCAATTTCTCCAAATTGTCCTGCTAATTTTCTTAAGTATTATCGAAATTACAAGAAGATTCTCGTCAAAAACTCTAACGGATTACTACACGAAAAGGCCTTGGCTTATTCTCAGTAATCCCTGTGACAAGACCCCCTAGTTAGGCAATCTCATCGGGATAGAGAAGACTAATGTATGACGTGGTATACATTTGTTGGGGTTATGTACAACCTATAGGGTGTACAGTCATTGAATACGATTTCGGCTACGTTGACTGTGCTGTTAATTGTTGTTTGATTAAGAGATATCTGCACTCATGACCTCACTAACCCCCTTGGGCAATAAGAACCACGGTAGCACATGATGGCCACGGGATAAGTTGCGCGCAGTTCCTTCCAGAATGTGCCATCGCGAATGGCATTCTCCGGTTCAGTCGTGTTTGCGTTGCGCTCCCAACAAATCTGCAATTCTATTAACTATCCAAAAGTACCTTGCATAATTCATCACACACAACCGAATTCTATTTCAAATTGTCGCCTTAGCGACTCTATTCCATTCTGATTATCCTAACTTGGTTTCACATGGAACTGCTCATCTGTGAATTAAATTTCGATTTTATTTTTATTTCATTTTTATTATTGGCATCACCTTAAATGAAATTCGCGTATGGGAGATTTAAGAGGACATCTAAGGTCAATTTACTGTAATTATGTCATGCGAACATGGAGAGGCAGGAAGAGCACACAAACCCATTAATTAAATGAGGCCAAATATGGACAGAAATTTTAATATGCAGATTATAGGCCAGAGCAATTTATCAGGTGGATCATAATTTCACCAAAATTATAGATGTTGCTCTGTACAAATTAACCCAACAGTGAGTGAATTCAACTAAATTAAGCAGCATGTTTTTTAAATTAATTAATTAATTATTACTTGGCTTCAAATGTCACTTTTTTGCAACAATTTTAGCATCAACTAGAGTTGTGTGGTGTGAATGAATTTGATCCATTCAATGTGTCCCATTAAATAACATACAAACATATTGGGAGGGGAGGGGTGCCATATTCGACTATTTCCACTGTACTCACCTCACCTTTTTTCTACCTCTGTGTCTGTCATTAGCTTATTTTCATATGAAAGAGTCAATTTTCCTTCGATGCCTGCTTTCTATCCATCTTTCGGAGCTCTCAAGTGGCTCCTCATGATAATCAAAATCTGTCTTCAAGTAGTATAGTGGAGAATCATGGTACTGTGGAAGAAAGAGTAGCCTTTTTAAATATCTTATTTAGCCATGATTTAGAATTTTAAATTGTGTCGGTGTTGCTGGTTAGCTACTGAGTACAGCAGCTGACATTGTCTCCTCTAAGTCAATTTGCAATCTAGGTGCTTGAAGCAGTCCATTGTTTCCCAGGTAGAACTGCCACTTCTAGCATGCCTTCACACAGGTTTATCGATAGCCAACCACATATCCCCACAAAGGTAGAGATCAACGAATTCCAATAACGATCCATTAACTAGAGCGTACTTCTATTTCCGTATTTTTGTCATATCGATATCATGTTCCCACAGTTCTTTCTCTTTTCACAACAAACGCTCCTCGGACTCCACTTAAATCGAGAAATTTGACGAGCTCCAATTTAAACTCTTTCTTTTAGCCTTATTTGGACTAGAAGGTGTAAATTTAGCAGAAATTTACCACCTATTCCCCTTCCTCATGAAAATATGTTGACTGGTAGTCTCCTTGGCCCTATCACACTCAACCCCTATGTCATCTTTTGACGAGCTCACATATCTTCTTTATTTATAACTATCCTGATTCTTTTAAAAGTACATCTGCAAACGTACTTCTCGCGTCCTTGCCTAGATGCACCCGATAGAGACAATCTTTGAGTTCCCAAATGCATATACGCGACTTTATCACCCCCCCCCCCCCCCCAATACCTCATTATGTTTTACCCATGTTTTCATGCTTTTGGAACTATTGTTAAGGTCAGCATGTCACCACATAGACAGACTAATAAAGACACCAACTGCCCCAAACCCACTTTTAAAGCTGAATTATCACAAAACATCGCAAGAAGAAATAGAGGGAAGTGAGGATACATCGTAAATATGTTGACATTTAAATATACAAAAAAGGGGCGTGCACCCTGGGCAACGTATACACATACGGCAAAAGAGTTTATTAACTGGCAGTTGACTTCTCACTTCAAACTACCATGACCCCACCGCATGTCATATTCGATCCCTATCACAGTACTCACCTCACCTTTTTTCTACCTTTGTGTCTGTCTCTTTTACATCTTTGAAACACTCTTCTGTTCTCCCCCTTTCCTCTCGACTTTTTCACTTTGATGTTCCTCCTCCCCCTCTGTGAAGTCTGAAGTCAACTAAAGGGCTAATGATAACCATCAAGACGCCTGCCATTTGATATAATAGTAATACTATTACAAAAACATCGATATCAAGAGTAATATGATCACATAAATGCGAGATTAGACTGGAAAGACCACGACAAGTTTCAGAGGTAGCACACTCAAAGGAGACACAGCCATTCAACATATTGTGAATTGAATTAGTGATTTAATATAAGGCGGGAGGTCTGTGAAGGAGTTAAGTTGGGAGGAGAAGGAAGGTCGAGGTAGTGGTTTGGAATTTGCTATTTGACGAATATGAAATCGTGCGGCAATGATTGCTAAAGACGACAGTCGTGGTATTCTTGGTACTATGATAGAGCGATCAAATTGACTCACGATGTTATCAACGACATGATTGCGTTCCCAAGTATGATAAATTTGTAAGGGTAGTACAATTTTAGATTGACCGAGTTGATGGCGAGAGTGACAGTATAACCTGAAAGACTCTTTCATCCACTTCTCCAAAGAAGATAAATCATTTTCAAAGCTATCCATTGTTGACGAAAGAACATAGATATCCTCCATTATCGACTTGAACATTTTTGGGTGAAATTCAGCAAAAGCTTTGCAGAAGCTCGTCGAACGCAAGACACCTAAAAGAAACCACGGAAAAATGATTTCAGGAGAATCGTTCATATCAGTTATGTAAGGAAGAAAGAAACGCTCAAAAATTCGGCTAGCCATTGGTAAGCTAGCAAAGTTTGTCCTCCAAGCGTTATCAAAAATCCATTGCATAATGGTTTCAGGAAAAACTTCCTTGTTTACAAGAGAAAAGTAGTCCATGTGTTTAAAGAAATATTCAATATCGTCCAGTGCGGATTCATAGTCTGGTCGAGAGCTTTCGGCAAGAATGGGAAGGAAAGTACCCCAAATATGATAATGCGAAGGACTCAATTCAACCTTCATACGTGAGAATATGGATGACAATTTGCCCAAATACCGATAGAGAAACTTTAGTGTTAAGCAGAGGTAGACATGATTAGCGAGAGTCGAGGCATCTTGGGTGAAAAGCGCGGCAGTTAAGACACCAGTATATCCATCAGTTTTGCCCGAATTCTGAGAGAAGCAGTTAACAATTCCCTCCAAAAATTGCTGTACATACGAAACGCAAACTACCTTACCGAATTTAAACTGTTGTAAGCATCTAAGAGAAGAGGACAGAGGATCAAAATGTATTATATAGGCTGTGGCCGACCTTGAATCCGTTGGATGGATTTTGAGAACAAGAAAAAATGTTGAACATGACTGGAGTTTCTTTTTGGGATAATTTGTCAAAATATCGAAAAGAGAAATTTCTTTCGGTAAAGAAGATGATTTGGACTTTCGAAGAAATAATGATGAAGGCCATGAAGATATTGGCCATTTAATAGACAAGCCAGTATAATCGACCGAGTTTTTAACCCAAGCGAAAGAAAAGACGGATATATTGCGCGAACATAATTCTTGACGAAGACCTGAGTAACTAAGGAATTTTTTTCGAAAAAATTTGTCCACGCCTTCAGAAAAAATTTGAGATTGATCTAGTCCACTCCACGCGTTCACCATGTAGATCACTGAACTTCAGATGACATAAACTCTATAAAAGCTATAAATCTGATCTGCGCAGAATGTCCCTAGTATTCCCTAGGACACGCGAACAAGAAAGCGCGAACTACCAATTTGATAATTAGTAAGGCCGTATATTCTAGTGTTAAACTATTCAAACAACAATATTTAAAAATTGATGTGACAGAAGTGCAAAAAATTCGATCTATTCTTTTAGAAAATTTATATTAAAGATTTCGAAATCAGTAGCCTGTTAGTTTACATAGTAAAACCAATGTTGTGACAAATATTTATTTATTCCAAATGGCAGGCGTTTTAATAGTTATCATGAGCCCTTTAGCTGATTTCGGGCTTCACAGAGGGGAGGAACATCAAAGTAACAGAAATTCTATCAGCATCTCTTTCGTACCTAAGTGTCTGATTTTCCTTTTCTTGTAGTGTTTTTCTATAATGAGATTTAAGATTCCTTTAATCTTGCAATATAATATAATTATTAGTGCTATGGAGCTCTACGCATTGACAACCATATATTAGACTCCTTGAAGGACTAAGTGATTAAGCACTTTGCGTATAAAAGTTTCTATGAAAACATTTAGAAGATGATCAAATACGCACATAAAATATCTTGAATTATTTCAAATCTGCTGTTTACGATGGAATGACACGAATAGTAATTAATACTAATGTTTTTTGAGGTGACTAAGATTTATAAGAAAAAGTAGTTATGATTGACTTCTGACTTCAAACCACCATTACCCCACTGTATGTCATGTTCGACCCTCTCTTTTATATTTTTAAATCACTCTTCTGTTCCACCTCTCCAGTTTTTCTCACTTTGATGTTCCTGCCCTCTATAAAGCCCGAAGTCAGCTAAAGGGCTAATAATAACTATTAAAACGCCTGCCATTCGAAGTAAATAAATACTTTTAAGCCTTCGTGTGGGAAACGATGACTGTAAGATTAACTTGAATAAGGTGAGTTGGATCAATTATATATACATACTTCAGGTATTTAAAATTATCCTTCTTCTTAATGATATATTAAATGCAAAGCCTATCCAGGATAGCAGTCTTCAACATTCACCTTGGATAGAGTGGTAGCTCCTTAAAGAAACCCTACGTCTTACACCCCAAATTTTTGGCCGACTAAACAATGCGATTGGCTATTCTGCTATGTATCTGTGCGCCACGGATCTTGCAGGCGAGCACGATAATCGATGTAATATTAGTAGAATGAAATCTCTACATGCATTTCCAAGTGAACTTAGGTATCTGGTGGAGAGTCAGTCTGATTTAATAACCACCAACCCCTTCTAACAGAAGAAATAAAATAATCGAATTGTGTTTACTTGGTGCCAAGCTGCTGAGGCACCAGCCGTTGAGTAAGTTTGATCCGACTAATTACTAGTCACAAACAACCTTAAGAGTTTCAGCTAACTCCTCTTTTCTCTCCCATCCTTTGTCATTGTCAACCTTCCTACATTTCATGCTTATTCATTCATAGGGCCAAATTAGACAATATTAGAAATGTTCAATTCAACATCGTTCAAAAACTTTGTACAAATCTGGAAGCGAAGTGAGCTTTAAAACAGCAGGGGACTTTTCGTCCGTTGTTGGGAAACACATAGTGTGACTAGGTAGAAGAATCGTCCGAATCGCCGGCAACAACACATGCTCAACCGTCCAACTCCAGGGAGTGGAATCCTCTTGGCATTCCTCTTGATTTTCCTTTTCTACTTCCGCCTCATTGCAATTCCGGCTTTGCTCGGCGGATTCATTGAGATTGAGTGCATCGGCTTTCTCATCGAGAGGCCTCACTTCAATGTCATCGTCCACACACTTGGCATAAAAACTGGCCAAAATTCGACAAATAGCCGAGAAACAGGCTCCCTCCTCATTCCAATTCACTTCCCTCACCATTCGAGTAAGCAATTTCGGAAGATAGCGCATATCCGGCACGAAGCTGAGCCAGAAAAAATAAGAGAGAGAAATATACCTAACAACTGAAATTTCCTGGCAAAAGCCATCACCTCACAGTTAGCCATAAAAATTAGCAAAAAAGAAGAATGCAGCTCGATGAATGGTGGAGAGAAATCAATGCTAAGGTAAGAGCCGAAAGGCCTCGTTTTGGAAACCTTGACAGGCAATTAAACGAACGGCGACGTAACCTATGGATAGGCCTCCGTGTGGAAATCCCAACCGCGGTCAAGAGATATGCTTAAAGACGAAATTTAAGGTGTCACTGACTCTTCGTAAAAAAAAATCGGGAAACAAGAAAACACCAGTGGATAGATCACTGCGAAATCAGAAGTGATCTGTCGACAAGTAGGCTCATTTGCCTAATGAATGAGCGTGCAACCACAGGGAGAAATTGCATATATAAAGAGGATTTTGCCGACTAGGATTAGTTTTTGTGAACTAAAAATGGAGAAAAGTTTGAAGTTGGAGCTCAGATGAAGTGAAGCTCACATTCCTTTGTTGTTAGTGTACTAGCATTTCCACGCGATTACAATTTGCGAATCACCTACTAAGAAGCTTTAACAACACTTAAGAGCCGAATTAATTTGAGGCATTGGTAACACGAATTATTGATCTTATAAACTCCCATTTGGTAAACGTGCACAAAAGTTTAAAGGCCACTTCGTTTTCCCATGGAAAGTGACTAGAATACTCATTGTGATAAAAAAGAGCGATATAAAAGGATGGTATAAACACCTACCGATCAAGTAGTAGGGGAAGACTGTAGAGCTGCAAGACACCGTTTGTATCAACTTCCACTCGTAGAGAGAAGTAGTCCCAGAGCATGGCACTTCTCTTGGTCAGAATCGAGCAGCCCTTGTCGACAATCACGGCCACTTCACTTGCCGAAGCCTCCGGGAGGCGTCTCGTCAACTCACAACTCAGGAGAGCACTTATAGGCGCTGGGTTTGAAAGTATCATCTGTGAACAAAGACGAGAGAGGCAGAAAAGTGGGATGTAGTGCAAAACTTTACATCTGCTCTTGTCACTGAACACTTATCTAGAATCCTTGAGCTGTGAAAAAACCTGTACTTGAGAGAAAAAGAAGGTGTTCTTGAATTGGCCTTACGACAAACTCACATTCAACCCCTTCAAATATGATTTGTAGAGGCGGGTATTGATCTCGAATTCAAAGCTGCAATAAGTGTTATTATAGTACTGACAATTCGCCAAAACTAAATCCTGGACCTCTACGACTTATTCAAAACCATTCCAAAAAGAGAGCCTGGAATAAGACTAATTTAAAGGCTAAGAGGAAACTAAGCGGATAAGAGACATTAGTAGGACTTACCTCACCGTGATTTGCAAAGTTGGCAACAGCCAGCTGGTAGAAAAGTTCCTTAGCCAGTGGATGAAGACGAAGCAGGAGGAGGTTTGTAGTGTGCTGAACAAGACAGTTAGAGCGGCTGATACAGCCCACAAAGACACAATCACGAAGGAGGTCACGAGCATCTGCCGAAGCCCTCGCTTCCACAGCTTCTCGCATCGTTTGTACAGACTCCAACAACACTTGGCGTCTATGAACACTCTTTTGCAATTTCAGCTCGTCTTTCGGTGCACTGTTGCTAGAATTTAGCCAACGGGGTATTTCAGTAGTATTTGAAGGAGTCAATTTTATACGGAATTCTTCGTCCTCACCCTCGGAGCCGCTGATTTCTGGACTCGGATCAGCGGGAGATTTCGCATCAACTGAGAGACGAGAAGATGAAGAAGGGGAAGGGTTCATGAAGGCGTCCAAGCGCTGTACTCGAGCATCGGTTCTCACCAAATGTTCGGGACGATAAGTAGAAGGACTGCTGTTGGAGACGACGGATCTAGGACTATTTGACAGTCGATTTATAGGTGTGAAGAGGGGACGCGATGATGGCTTAGTAGACGAGGCAGGAGCCTGAAAATTTTCTTGAGAGGGTTTCAGACTCAGAGATTGAACGAGAATATTACGAGCACCAGCTGAGGTGATTAGAGTCTGTTCTATTGCGTCTCTAACTCCGGCTATTATTTCATCCTGTTTAAATAATAACAAAAAATGGGTTACTAACAGACATTCGTAATGAAACCAACCCCCACCCCCTCCCCAAATGTCCTGTCAGACTAACCTCATTAAGAAAATGGACTTGTGATTTGGTGGGATGCACATTAACATCCAGGGAGGTTGTTGGCAACTCTAATTTCAAATACGCGAAAAGGGAAGAGCTCCCCCCGGGATTGGTAGATGAGGAATATAATTTAGCAACTCTGTGAGGGAGTAAAGTAGCATATGCTGACTCAACCGCTCGCTTTATATTCAAACTCTCAACCAATCGATTGTTAACAAAAAGAACCAGTTGTACTGATGGCGTTCCCTCTAAAAAAAGCAAAAATTCTCAGTAAAAATGGCATACGGCTGAAATATATTTAAGTATACCAAATTCATACCAGATGTGATTTTGGAAGGGTTCGAGAAAAGGCCCTCGAATCTCAGACCTAGCTTATCCACCGCAAGTTTAACTGAATCTGCATCAAAGACTTGTTCAGCAGAAGAAAGAGATACGAGATCTCCAACCATTTTGTCACCAAAAACCGCTCTGATGACTTGTTCTTTACTCCACTCTTTGGTCGTTCTCATATCTAATTATAAAAATATAACAAGCATTATAAGGAAAAAGAGAGCAGCCAACCCCCTCCTATTGACATGGGGCTCGCGCCAGGACCCACTTTTCGGTCAAGAGATCGAAGAAAGAATCCACATTTACCAGCGTAGTGGAGACTGTATCTATAATAGAGGAAAAAAACAACGTTATCAAGAAGCCAGAGTTACGAATAGATGGTTTTAACGGCATACCTAGCAACCACATCAGCAACGCGCGTAAATTCATCACGAGGTGAGCGAAGTGCATCACGTCGTGATGGAAGGTTATGGAAGAGGTCTTCGGCTTGAACGCAAGTACCCGGGTTTCCGGCACAAGGTTGGGGTGCACTAGAGGACCCCTCTGAGTTACAAATAAGTACGCCTCCACTGTAATCAGCCCTGTAGGCACAAGTTCGACTCGGAGGTCTAGATGTTATTGTCAGACGTGACGTCACATAACTCAGACTGGCCAGAGCCTCACCTCGAAATCCAAAGGTCTGCAACTGTGACAGCCCTTGAAAGTCCTGCAATATGATATAGCACAGTTAATACAAATGATTTAACTATTAAACAATCACCGAAGCATCACGCTAACTAACTTCGAGTTTACTTGTGGTGAAACGCTGGCAAAGAATAGGAAAATCTGCAGGATCGATCCCATGTCCATCATCCTGAACTTGAATCAGCTTCATCCCACCTCCACGGAGACTAATCTTCAATATATTATAAAAATTAATTAATTTTAATGTCACGCAATTAGAAGGATTTTAAAATTGTCAGGTACCTGGATCATTGTGCTGCCAGCATCAAGACTGTTTTCAATTAACTCCTTAACTGCATTGCAGGGGCGTTGAATAACTTCTCCAGCAGCAATCTTGTTCACTACTTCTGAGGGTAACGCTTTAATTCTTGGAGGATTCATCTGTAGATTTCAAATGAAAAGACTCAAAAACCAAAAGAAAAAGCATGAAATTTTTCATTAAAAATATTACATGATTATTAACAAATCGACATGAGTGCAAACTAAGTGCCTTCTAATTTGATACAATAAACTCAGTAGCAAAATAACTTTAGTTGACCTTACTATTTTTATCCCATTGGCTTAAAAGTACAGTTCATATTTTTTGCAATATCTATCGTTCGTGTTGCTGGTGCGTTAAATCAAAAGGTTATTAATAATTGCAAAAAAGCATTCCAAGAATACAGTATAGATCTTAACCACTAAAATACATTATTTTTTATTGATAAATAATAATTCCACTTTGCTGAAGCAATTTCTACTTGTTTTAGCTAGGAGTATAGGAGGACTTATAATAATTTCCATAAATAATAGTAGCTATTAAGTACTACACTCTGGATCAGAAGGATGAGTAAATTGCAATTTTATTTGCTGTAATTCGTGAGACCTAAAGCCTTGGTTTATTTCCTCATGTATATTTTGTCATATCTCATCATTTCATCAGATTCCTTATAAAAGCGTATATATTTTAGTACAACATTGCTCTCAATACAAATTTTCAATCTCCATTTTAGTTTTCAGTTTTAGATTGATAAAGGTCTTTTAAATTATGTTATTTCATATGGTCAAAGAACTAGCTGACTGATCTCCTATCCAAATATTAAATCTTATTAATGTTTAATTTCCTCATGTAAATTACCAATAAATGTATCATAATTATTACAGTTCAAACTCTTTATTTAGCGAATATACCTTCAAAATATGAAAAATTATTTACTCTTGATTAACCATGTGAATTCAACTTACTGACATTCTTGGCCTATAACTTTACCTGGTGTATACCATTCACTCATTCTTTTTCCATGAAAGCTTGTTAATATACTCAGGATATTCCATAAAACGTTCCAACTGATTGCGTTTTCTGTTAGTAACTTTGTTCGTCTTTATTTGACTTTTATCACTGATGAAAGCGAATACAGATCCTTATTAATGAAAGATTCGTGTGACAAGAATGCTGCCAATATATCAATGTAACGCATGCCGAGACAGATTTCTGACCTATCAAGACCAACCGATCCAAGGAAAATCCTTGGCTCATATGTATTTGGAAAAATAAGTCGAATTCGCTATCCTATAATTACTTCCTTTAAAATATAGGTTTAGAAAGGGTCCTTCTTTATTAAAAAAAGACTCATTGAGGCATTGAAAAATTTTGGTGCCTGAAAAGTGAGTTCATAGTTTTTTGACTTCTTTCGCACCCCGAATTTAAGGTAAACAGCTAAATTAAAATATTACTACGATTAGTTAAAAATAAAATACGGTAGTCTATTAATTTAGTAATTTTGTTGCTAAACAAGTTCGATATCCCACTTACTATTTGAAATGGGGAAGGATAACACATAAATTAGACATATGTTTCCATGTCCAGACGGTGGGTAAAAACACACTTTTATTGTAAATACCTGCAATATTATTGGCTCTATTTTCTCCAAAATTTACCTGACCTCAGCACAGAAAGTAAGATTATTGTTGTTTCATATCGTAATGTCTCATTGCACATTTTTTTCTTAGCCGTGGATTTAGGGCTCATTCATTTGCTCAGATATTGTGTGATTTTTTAAAATTCCATTGTTCATTTTATTTTATCGACATGCACTTTTTAACATCAAAGATAATCTTAACGGATCGGAATCGATGAACTCGAAACCAACTTTGGTTTGGTATTATCCGGAAATCACAAGTCTTCTTTCCCCACAGATTGTTATTTTTACGGTTAAATTAGGCTAATTAAATGATCGAACTACTTTCAATGAGAGTATATCCCTATCCCTCCGCTTTAATGATGTGAGTGAAGGGCCTCGATATCATGATGTTAAGATATCACTGTTATTTTTTTCTAGATAGTGGGAGATACTTAAGCTTATTAGTATTCATGCCGATATAGCCCTCAATATTTCATTTTCCACAAGGACGGGAGCAAATCTTTTTTATTATGACATTTAAAAACATACATTATATGTGTGTAGTTCGTTGCGCAGAGGACTTAATGAAACAAAATGGCCTTAGAACATAATGCTATTCCGCTTTAATTAATCAGAAATATTTTATAAACTGTCATAATTATTCCATATATAACTGGTCTAACGGAGGCCAAATTAATCACTATTCTAACGATATTTTATGCTTGCTTTCATTGTGTGTATTTTTTGGCAATTTTGCAAAAAAACCCATATTCAAGATTATTCCATACTTAGGTTCCCGAAATTCGGTAAGTACATTCAAGTGAAAAGTTCGACGAATGAAACAAGCACAAATAGAGAAGATTGAGCGTAGTTTCATTGAAGGCTAGTAAGCACTTCAACAGATTGTTACATTGCAATTTACATATTGCTTGCTTTTTTTACTGTATGTCATAGGTCCTCGCGCTGGTTTGTATAGGCTTTATGAGACCACTTAGAGGTTAAAGTAACGAATTACTTTGACATTAATAATTGATGTTTCCGACCTAGTCAAGAGAGGTAAGAATTTCAATAATTTGTAAACGCCCCACAACCTAAACGAACCTGTAATGATGAAGTTTCACTCTCTGAGCTCATAAATTAACGTGCATAGGAAGTAAACTCAACTATATCTACTCAATTGATTTTTGCTAGAACACTCGAAAGACTCTTTGGAAGCTTTAGCTTGGACAAGGATCCAACCATTAATGGCAAACGATGTGAATCCGTCCTTCATAGAAGATAGTAATTTAAGTTCAAATCAACATCTAACAGAAATTCTCATCTTGATTCTTCAAAGAAGCCAGGTACTGAATTCCAATCGCATGAAAGAAAGCGTGCAAACGGAAGTGCCTTTATTTACTCAAGGAATAAATCAGCAACATGGTATGTGAGGCAAACCAAGAGATACCATAGAAGAAAATAAAACGGGAAAAGTAAAATTTGTCCACATTTACGGGGCGAATATTCATTCCTATTGAAAAGAACATAGAGCAGAAGTATGAAGATAAGAACAGGCGGAGAGAGAAAATAATGCATGAAATCGGAAGACAAAAACGTCACCAAATGTGATCGATAATTGCCGATTGCCTCTCTTCCAAAGTACTTCAATGTACTAGTTTCCAGGTATTTGAAAAGTAATTTTGTATTATCGACAACATGGGTTTGAAAGGAATACATTATATAGAAACGAATTAAGAGCCTAACAGAATATCGTGAAATGCGGGTCAGCATAAGTTATTTAAAACAGTTTCATATATTTTATGCTAGATATTATAAAAGCAAAAGAATTAAAAATGAGATGTTTAAATTTATAAGTTATTATTTTGTTGTTTGTAGATATATTTCAGTTTAGTGGAAATTGTTCAATTTTGACATTGTTTTCATATTATCAGGCTTGGTTAAATTTTAATATCGATTATATATGAGATACTTTGAAATCGTTCATATATAAAATGAAGTTTATACTACTACTTTCACATTCTGAAATTCTTGCGTAAATGTGCTTTGTTTCGTGCTTTACACATCGACGTCTTAGAATGGAGAGTGATTTAGTCAACTTAACTAATGCTTAGTGTTACCAATTTCTAAGAAATTTTTTTCAAGGTAGCATGAACCAATTGCTGCTTGGGTTGAGGCTGTTTTTAATTCAAATGATAGAAGTTACACGGTCCATAATGAAGGGATGTCTATACAGAAATGAACCAACTAATTATTTATGTTTCAGAGTTTTGCTTAAATAAAAATTTGATCTTCCGTGACTTTTGTTAAATAGCGTAGTTCGTAGTCTCCAATGCCAACGTCTGTCCAGATGATCTTCTTGAAACACACACAAGAACACCCAAAACCACGTATGCAAAATTATCCAATTATTAAAGTCAATAAACAGCTTATTATTACAGTTGTGCAGTTTTGTTAAAGCTCTTTTCCAGTTCTAAGGTTTGTGCATGTGTGGACTTAGCTATTAGTGAGATTGAAAGTAAGGTTACACAAACTGGACCGTCTGGAACAAACAAAAACGTGTTTTATACATTTCAGAACTGAATATTTATTTATACCAAATGGCAGACGTTTTGATAGTTATCATAAGCCCTTTAGCTGACTTCAGGCTTCACGGAGAATAGGAGGAGCATCAAAGTGATAAAAAGTCGAAAGAGAGGGGGAACTGAAGAGTGTTTCAAAGATGTAAAAGAGAGAGACACAACGGTAAATAAAAGGTGAGGTGAATACTGTGGTCGAATATGACCACATACAGTGGGGTGATGGTTGTTTGAAGGGAGAAGTCAACTGCCGGTTAATAGACTTTTTTGCCGTATGATTATACGTTGCCCAGGGTGCACCACGTAGAGGTAAGTCTATAGCATACCCCAGAACTGAATATTCTAGATGACAAAATCTGTTACTTCCAATATGGTCATTGATTCATAATTTTTTATCGTAATTAAAATCTAGATTGTGCTCAATATCAACGAAATATGAATGAAGCATAATTTTGCATTCAAAACGCTTAGCTGGGTATTTTTTTCAATTCTTTCCAATTCCATTGCGGCAGGTGTCAACAGCAATTGATTTGGCTAGGTGAGTCTCTCAGAGGAACTCTGTGCTGAGAGAGTTCCACTCCACCATAGCTCGTGCTAGTTGTCCGCATCGCAAGTAGAGAATCCTAAATTAACTAGTTTGTAAAACTGGATTTTGTGTGTCCTTGAAAACCGAATAGAGTCCGATTTAGTCCAAATTTATTGTGCTGAAACCTTTACGTTTGTTTAGTGACCAATCAGCTTCCATGCAAATGTTTTTTTAATTGAAATAAATTAATACGTCGTTGTATATTGCTCTGAATCGCATTAATTCTCTTTTAGTTTATCAACCAATGGAAGAAATGCAAATGCGTTTTGTCAATCGCGCTGAACAAACAGGATATCCACAAGGTATTTCAAAAGGTGAGCTTAGTTAGACAAACGTCCC